CTCAAACTCACAACTAGGCATCTCAATGGGGTCACAGCAACCCTTTTATTCCTCCCTCATTGATTCTCTATCTCACTCCTCACAGAAGCTAGTCCAAATCTTTTCTTCCCCCTTCAATTCCCACATACCTCTGCTTCCCCTTTCTCAGCTGACTTCAACTTTTACTTCAGTGAGGAAATGGAGGCTATTCCTTTCATCTCAAAATCCCTTGACATCATTTCTTGCTCTTCCTTTTTCCCAGGCACCAACAAAGGGGCAGCCTTTGTCCTTGTCAAGGCCAACCCTTCTACACCTACACTTGATCCCATCGGCTTCTGTCTTCTTCAAGATGAGTCTTCAAATCATGCCCTCTTCTTTCTAAGCTTCACTCTCTTTCTGTCTACTGATTCCTACATTACTGCCTTCAAACACGCCCAAGTCTCCCCCATCCTTAAAAAAATACTTTCATGAGGCCCTATTATTCCCTCAACCTCTTGTCCTATATCACTCCACTTGTTCTCTGCCAAACTTCTAGAAAAAGCTGTCTACACTTGCTGTCTCTACTTTCTTGTCCTTTCATCACCCCTCAACCTTTAGCTGTCTGGCTTTTGACCACATCATCAGACTGAAATGGCTCTCAACTGGGTCTTTCCCAAGGCACTCTCTCCTGGACCCTCATCTCTTCTCCCTATATGCCTCCTCTCTTGGTAACTTTATCAGTTCACATGGGATTAATTACCATCTCCAAGATGACTTCCAGATGTATATATCCATTCTTAATCTCTCTCCTGAGCTTCAGTCTCACATCACCTATAGGACTCAACCTATTTCAAATTGGATGTCCCAATTAGAATAAATAAATAATTAATAAATTAATTAAATTTATCATGTTTAAAACTGAAGTCATTATTTTTCCCCCTTACCTGTTCCCTCTTCCAAACCTCTCTATTTCTATTATCCTTCCAGTTTCTTAGATTCATAATCTTATAATTACCATGGATTCTCTTTCTCTCATACACACACACACACACACACACACACCCCCCTACCCAATTGCCAAAAATGTTAATTTTAACCTTCAAAACCTCTCAAAACTGACCCCTTCTCTGCACTCACAGTTACCAACTTGGTTCACATCTTTTTTTTCCTCTTTTTTTTAAATTTATTTTTTTTATTTTTAGTTTTCAACATTTACTTCCACAAGATTTTGAGTCCCAAATTTTCACCCCATCTCGCCCCTTGCTCCACCCCAAGATGGCATGCATTATGAATACCCCTTCCCCTAGTCTGCTTTCTCTGCTATCTCTCCCCCCCTTCCCCTTCTATTTTCCTGTAGGGCAGGATAGATTTCTGTACCCCATTTCTTGTATTTCTTATTTCCCAGTTGCATGTGAAAACATTTTTTTAAACATGTGTTTTTTTAAACTTTGGGTTCCAAATTTTCTCCCTTCCTCCCTCCCCACCCACCCTCTTAGTTCACATCTTTATCACCTCTCATCTGCTTTATTACAATAGCCTCAAGTTTCTTCTCACTTTAGTCCATTCTACACACTGTTGCCAAAGTAATATTCCTTAAGCGAAGATCTAACCCATGTGACTCCCCTATTCAGCCAACATCAGTGGCTTCCTATGGCCTCTAAGATCAAACAGAAACTCCCTTTGTTCAGCCTTTAAAGCTCTGCACAAGCTGGCCCCAGCCTACCTTTCCAGACTCATTGAACATTATTCCCTCTTCCTCACTGAGTCATCCAGTCAAATTGGCTTCTTGTCCTCACACACACTTCACCTCTTATTTCTACATTTTTGCTCTGGCCAACCCTCATGTCTAGAATATACTTCCTCTACATCTCACAGAATCTCTCTCTCCCTTTAAGATGCAGATCATGCAGCATCTCTGAATCAATCTTTTTTCTGATTCCCCAACTGCTAGCTAGTGTTCTCCCTCAGGCCTGGAGATAGGAAGACCTGAGTTCAAATGTGGCCATAGACACTTACTAGTTGTGTGAGCCTGGGCAAGTCACTTACTCTGTGTTTGCCTCAGTTTCCTCAACTGTAAAATGGCAACAATAATAGTATCTAACTCCTCCGGTTGTTTTGAGAATCAAATGAGAGAATCATTGTAAAGCACTTAGCACAATGCCTGGCACATAGCAGGTGCTATTGGTTAATCTTTTCAGTCATGTCTGAGTCTCCGGGACCCCATTTGGGGTTTTCTTGACAAAGATACTGGAGTGGTTTTCCATTTCCTTCTCCAGCTCATTTTACAGATGAGGAAACTGAAGCAAACAGGGTTAAGTGACTTGCCTAGGGTCACACTGCTAGTAAGTGTCTGAGGTCATCTTTGAATTTAGGAAGGACAGTGACTCTGGGCCAGGCACTCTATCCACTGTGCCACCCAGCTGTCCCATTGATTCACTTTATAGTCATGCTATATATACTTATATGTATGTGTCATCTCCCCCATTAGAATATAAACTCTTTATATGTAAGGATTGTTTCATTTCTTGTACTTCTATCTTCTTCAAGGGTGAGGAGCCTGTGGCCCTCGAGGCTGCAAGTTTCCCACCCCTGAAGGGTGTCTTGGGCAGAGGAGTGATCTGCCCTTCCCTCCCTTCCTTGATATTCCCTTTCCCCTGGATAGGGGCTCAATCTTCCTAAAACATTGAGGAACATCCTATGCCAATAGATACATAGGTAAGTGGGTGGGTGGCCTGAAGATCAAGTACTGAGCTTGGGGTCAGGTTCAAATCCTGCCTCAGACACTTATGAGCCGAGTGACCGCAGTGGCACACTTAAACTTTCTGAGTCTCAGTTTCCTCATCTGTAAAATTGAGATAGTAATAGCACCTATCCCACAGGCTTGTGAGGAACAAATGAAATAATCAGTGTGGAATACTTTGTACATCTTGAAGAGATATATAAATGCTAACTCTTCTTATTATACTTGGCTGAGAGCCCTTGATGTTCCCTGAGGGGAGAGTAGATCCTCCACACGCCCTATCTCTTCTCACCCCAGCATAGCGGACCGTGGCTGCCTCTTGCTGTCTCAAGATCACCAGGCTTTTTTTTTGTTTTTTTAGCCAAAAACTCATCAGCGTGGACTTCTGCTCTGCAAAGTCATTCTGAAACATGCCTCTGGAATGACAGGTGGAAGTGTTTGAGGGACAAAGCTCAAGACCCAATGTCTAACATTACAATATTGGAGGGATGGTTGGATGTTAAGCAGGCGTAGGGATGGGGGAGCGGATCAGGGCCAGTACAGACAATTGTCTACTTGCCTGGAGTCATGGAGAGTCTAAGGAAATAGACAGAACTTAGGTAAATGGTTCTGGGGGAGCTAGTCAATCTTGCCTTATCATATTTTGTAAGTGGTGGCTAAGGGGTACCCATAAATCACGTGAAACACAAGAAGGAAATGTCTACCCAAATAACACAGAGCTCCAGCAGATTCTCTGAAAATGTCTTTGGACTGAGGCCTGGATTCAATCCAAGGGATCTCTGGATATCTCATGAAATATAATCTTCTGTCCCAAACCTACAAGGTAATGTGGGAGACAAATGGCGCAGGAAGGCTCATCTGAGCAGTGCCACCTACTCCTTTGCTGAATACCTATTCTGACATCTCATTGGCCATCACAGGGGAAACCTAAGAATGGTAGGCTTCCAAGAGGAGGAAAAAAAAGATAGAGGGTAGGGGTGACTGGCATCTGGGCACATTCTCTGAGTACAGCCATCCCTTACAACAGGAATCCTGAATCTGATGAATATTGGTAGATGGGCAGCACCTCACTGAAGGTCAAAGCACCGGAGGAAATGGGGCACTCAGTACCTACTCTTGGTCTAGATCTGCTCCTTCCTTTCTCTCTAGCCTCAGATTTCATTCTGAGTCACTGTGGAAAACTCTGATGTTTTTAAGTAAACTCTTCTTAAGCTGATCCTTTCTAATAATGTAATAACACTCAAATTTATAGTCATTTTTGGTCTATTAACTGGTATAAGAGAGGGTTTGTCATTAAGGAAATACATGATCAGAAGAAGAGCTCATACTGATGAGCTGGCTGTTGTCCTTTACGCTCCAAGAGGACCAAAATGACATCACTACGCTGGGGTCAATGATGAGATGACAAATCCACTGAAGTATTCTCCAGAGCCATCAAGGATTGGCTAGTAAAACTGAGCTTCCATACTTCATTGAGAGCTTCTAAAGGTCTGCTATCTCCTAGCTTGGGCTGTCTCCTTTCTACCTGATTTTATTTAGAGACTGTTCCTTAAACAGGGCACAGTGAACCCTTCAGAGGACCTTGATCTCGTTCCTATCTCCACATAATTCAGGAATCAGAAATATATTAGACTCGTCCAACTCAGAAAGGGAACATTTTGCTCCATCTTGGGCTCTTTGCTTTATTATTTTTCCTCATGGAGGGAGACACAAAAGTGCCTAAAAAGCATATTTAGTGTTGCTTGTGCAGATAAACTACTAATGCTTTTATACTCCCAACTGATTCAAAGATATGACTACTTAACAGTGGAATGTATTGTCTTTTCTTACAAATGGCTTTGGGGGAGCTATTCAGAGGGTGGAAGGCCCTCACTAGCTCTCCTGACAACCCAAATCCTAACCTTATTTGACTGGACGTCTTTTGTGGGGTAAGGAAGGAAATATTTGGGATGAAATCCTCAAGTCACAGAACCCAAGAACCCTAGAGTTAGAAGAGAACTTAGATATTATCTAGTCCTACCCTTCCTGAATCATTAACATTCCCAACAAATAATTTAACTCCGGGCACGACTGTGAACAAGAATTCCTTCATCAAATTTCTAATATCCTTCCTAAGTTGGAGGCCTAAAGAGAACGAGGGGCTTCTCGAATTCTCTAAGCCTGATAAGTGCCCTCCTTCTTGAAGCTTTCGTTTGGCTTGAAACAGACCAGGACCGCGCTGAGCTGCTGACAAAACTAAGCTTGTTCCCCTCGGCCAGGCATTCGTCCACGATCAGAGTTTAGAGCGCTGGACTTGCAGAGGCTGATTGAAAACAAAGACATCGGCTTTATTTCCTCAGGGCAGTTGTGGACATACATTTTTTTTTTTTTTAACATGTCACTTTAACTACGATAAACCCAAAGCACAGTGGTGTTTCTTGGTCACATGTTGGTGAATGGCTGGAAATGTTGGTGATGAACCAGGGATCTGTGGTCCTGCAAGTGATAACTTCACTGGAACGCGCCTGCTGCTGCTGGGGTCTCTCCATGCCAGGAATGATTGTGGCTCCTCAGCCCTACAAATGAGAGTCATGATAATTATGTGTGGCTCAGTGACACTGTAAAGAGCAGGACACTTCTATTAGTGAACACGGACCTTTGCAGGGGCTGACTGGGGAGGGGCTAGAAGTGCTTGGGCAGCCCTTTGCTCACTTAGCCATGGCTTACACACCCTGTGAATCTCTCATAGGAAATATTTTATCCTCAGTTGCTTTGCTCAACTGTCCAACATTGGGTCTGAAGTACTCTCTCTGATCCCCTAACACATGTGAGTGCTCAGGGAATGAAGACTATTTTTAATATTTTATTAGACTAAGCAAGACATAATGAGAAATGTAAGCTCTTAGTGCTGATGCTACCAAAAATCATATAATGGCATGCTGAAACCAAACGGATCATCTAGGAGTAGTTTGTTTTATTTGTTCATAAATTACGTCTTTTCATTATGATGTATAATTGAGCATATTTTTTTCTTTGCCAGACATGTGTTTTCATTGGTATACAGTAGCGGTGTTACATTCAGAAAGAAACAGGGGCCACTACTCTGTACATAATGATCCATATGGTCCACCTATGGATTTAGTTTTAAAATGTACTGTTATCTATATTTTATTGTATTTTTATTTATTTTACTAAGTATTTTCCAAAGACATTTTAATCTGGACTGTGGTGGGTGCACGTCTGACACTTCTGGTGTAGGGAACTACCGGCCTACCAATGCAGATCTGCAATTACTCCTCGACTTAAATTTTGGAGAGCTGCCTGGAGCCCTGAGAGGTAAGGAGACTTAACCACAGTCACACAGCCGATGTTCGAGAGGGAGGATTTGAACTCAGGTCTTTCTGACGCTAAGGCTAACCCTTTAGCCACCATACCTCGCTGCTTTTCAATGGAGAGAAGACTGTTTAAAATCTCAATCTCTTCCCGTAACTGTTGGAGGAAATCATAACCAAGAACAAAAGGGCTTCCTAGGATCATAAAAAGTTGGAGTTCAAGGGCACCCCAGTGATCATCTAGTCTAACGCCTTCATTCCACAGATGAGTAAATGGGAGCCTCAGAAGTCAGGTTACGGTCAAGGTCACTAGCTCGCACAATGGTAGAATGAACGTCTAGGTTCTGATTCTCTTGTGTAATTGAGTGAGGAATGGGATCCCCAAGTCCAAACAGTCACAGGGTCAACAGTCAAACTGAGAACCACAAGACTTCAGAAGTGGAAGGAGTCTTAGAGGCTGAAATCTAGTCCAAGGGTGGTTCACTTTTTCTGTGTCATGGGTCCTTAGAGGCAGTCTAGTGAAGTCTATGACCCCTTCTTAGAATGATGTTTTAAAATACATAGGTTACAAAGGAAATCAAATCTATTTAAATACAGGTGTCAAAATACTTTTTAAAAAGCTCATGGCCTCCTGGTTAAGAACCTCCAACCAAGTCTAATCACCTCATGAAAAGATTCCCTTTGTAGAATCTCTGAAAGGTGGTTGGTTATCCAGCCCCTTCTAGAATACTTCCAGAGACAGGGAGAACATCCCCACTCTCCCCTGGGTATAACCACACCAAACAAGCCTGCCTCCTCTTCCATATGAAATCCCTTTAATTATCTGATGGCAGTCATCACATCTCTCTGTAATTCTTCTCTCCTAATTCTTCTGGTTAAACATTGGTAGTTGCTTCACTTGATCCTATGTCATAGTTTCTAGACCAGGGGTGGGTAATCTTCGGCCTTGAGGTCACACGTGGCCCTCTAGGCCCTCAAGTTCGGCCCTTTGACTGAATCCAAACTTCACTGAACAGATCCCCTTAATAAAAGGATTTGTTCGTGAGGTTTGGATTCAGTCAAAGGGCTGCACTTGAGGGCCTAGAGAGCCATATGTGGCCTCAAGGCTGCAGGTTCCCCATCCCCATCTACACCCTTTCACCATCCTAGTTTGTCAATACCTTTCTTCATATGTGGTTGTCTGTCTAGAACTGGACACAATATTCTGTTTCAGAAGCCTTTGTGGAGAGTCTGAAGTGAATACAATAAATTCACTTCCACTTCAAGGAATTCTTCTACTAAAACTTTTATCTTTCTTTGCTTTGAAAGAACACGGTATTACTAGGAGACATGAAAACTGGGTTTTGTTCCCCTAATGCCATTTGCTATTGATGTGATCTTGAGTAGATCACCAAACCATTCTGTGCCTTAGCTGCCTTTTCTATAAAATGGAGACACTACCACTTCTCACTGGGTAGAATGCAAGTTCCCCGAGGTCAGGGACTATTTCAGTTTTGAGTCCTTAGCACTCACCCATAGCACGTCAAACAGAGTGGCTGCTTAATAAATGTTGAACTGAAGGCAGGGACTGAATCAGAGGATCTTCTGAGGTCTGCCCCAGCTCTAAAATCTATGATTCCAGATGTGCAGCTCAGTGCTGAGACGACAAGTCATACTAGGAGGCAGCATGGTACAATGGAAAGAAGACTGGCTGGGCAACCAGAGCAACTGGGTTAAAACTCTCCCTCTGATAAATACTCCCTGTGTAACCCTGAGCAGGGCATTTAACCTTCATGTGCCTCATTTTCCTAATCTGTAAGTGAGCAGGTAGACTAGATAGGCTATAATTTATGATTCTATCATCTTGAGTAACAAAGCCACAAGGTTGAATAGGGTTTCTTGGCTCCTAACTGAGGATATAAAGACAGAAGTTTATTTTCTTCTGCAAGATGGGGTGATTGTTCAATCTTATTTTTAAGGGAAAGAAATATTGGTCAGTTTAAAAGTCAGTGGGCTCTTGAAGCTACTTAGTAAATTATTCTTAATAAGCCAGAACACACTTGTACATGTATCTCTTTAGAGCCTCCCCCATCCTTCAAATCCATGTAGCATCCATCCTCTAGCAGAATGTCAGCTGTTTGAAGGCATGGACTGTTTTCTTTCTGCCTTGATTCCTAGGACCTGGCACAGGGCATCAGACTACTGAACTGAACAGACTCTTTTACACAATAAGAGGAACTGTGGGTGGTATGAAATGAGATTCAGCATTTAAAATAACTTTCAATCAAGGTGAAGGTCCTAGGCAAAACCTAGCCCAAAACAAACAAACAAAAAAAACCCCATGTCTACAGCTGAGTTTTAGCAGGTACCTTGTGTACAAACACAGGTCTCAGAAAAAAATTCACTTGCACTAACAGTGTCACGTAGGGTTCTTACCTTTATCCTTCACTTCTTTAATAACAGAATTTTCCAGTGGAAACTAACTCAGGGAGAATGTTCACTCATATGTGATTTTCATAAAAATCAGGTTCTTGCTTGTTAAAAATCTATGGAAAGCCTAAACTCCCGCCAGGAAGCTATCCACATCCATATACATGCACATGCC